CCACCAAATGCAGTTTATTCCACTGTTCTCTTCTCTAATGACACCTTGGACACAGGCTGTGTGAGATCTGTAGGCATGGGGAATGTCTCTGGTGGAGAAGCTCAGTTATAGCCACTGTCCCTCCCCTGCTATGCAGGGATACCTGCTCGCATATGGGACTTCTGAAAGGTTGAGTGTTGAGGCAGAGGGGTAGCTCTAAAACAAATATTCGGCTGGCTTCTGATGTAGATTGAGGAAGCAGTGAAGGAAAGAAAATCTGGGAAAGGAGCTGGCCACGGGATGGATGAGTTGTCTGGGCAGAGACAACTCACTATCAAACCATACTCTTTCTTATGGGCACCTTGGCACTCTGCAAAAAAACTCTAGGATGTTCTACAAAGACTTAATAACAAGTGGCTTAATAACTCTGCAGTGCAAACCGAAGCAACAGATGATCAAGCAATTAGCTTCAAAGTGAAACGTTGACCCAAACAAAAATGATAATATAGGTGCACCTCGAGAGATCCAGTGAAGAGCCTGACCTGCTTTACAAAGGCTTGTACATGCACACAGGGACATGTGATAGAAATTACAAGGCAGTTTTTGATTAAGTGAATAGATAGTTTGCACTCTTTTAGAAGGCCATACTTCTCACAGTTTGATAATTTTATCAAGCAAATATTGCTGCTAGAGGAAATGGATCTGTGATATTGTCATATTATTTAAGTAGTGTAAGATAGTACTAGAGCTTGTGTACACTAGGTAGGAATATTAAGAGATGGTATTTGGAGTATGTAAAAGGGCAAAATTACTTCCTTCCTGTCTCTTAAGATAGAAGGCATATGAGACATTAATTATATCTGTACTCAGCCAACCAAATGTTAGTTCACTTATAATGCTGGCAAAAATGTTATTTAAATGTTAAAATCTGTTAATAAATCATTATGATCTGTTCAGCAGAGCAGATACAACTATGAAAGAAAATAGTTTGGTGCAAAGGAAACAGTTCAAAATATAGTTACAAAATGGATCTTCCATGAATGGTACTTCATAGTAATGTCTTGTAACACTGATCACAAAACAAAAATGAGCTATTGCATCATGCAAAATGCCAAGCATTGTAATGCCGATAAAAACATTTTGTGGAATTACTACATGGATGTGGGTCCCTTGAGAGTGAACTCTGGCACTGAATTCTTGATAAGCAGAGCTGACACATGAAGGATACCGGTGCATTAATGGCAAAGTATCAGACTAGTCAACTGGCATTTTAACCTTTGGTTATTTTCATGCTTATAGTGGATTCCTAGGGAAATATATTACCAAATATACAAAAACTGAATAATGAAAACCACGATTTAGCTACAGATTTATTCTGTTAATAGAAGCTTAATAGTTGCATCTTGAAAATCTTAACAACTAACTAGTTTTTCTGAAGTTTTTTTTATGTTATCTGTTTCTTTCAGTTATATTTGAGCTTTGTATTATACTGGATTTTGTTTATATGTTTTTAACATGTACTGTAACAAAGAGATCACCAGTCTTACTCAGGCTTTTCAAATCCATGTTTTGTATCTAACATTACTTATCACTAAATTGATGACAGCATTTTCTATATTTTCTGTTAAAATTAGAAATAATTAGTCTGGTGTTAATGGTTCAAAATTTAATGCCAGTGTCTACCTTTGCTTTGTTTTAAAGTTTGCTTGGAATAGAAGATTTATTCTGGTTTTACCCTAGTTACCTAAAGAAATTAAGTATCGATGATCTCCCTCTGTCTATCATTCTTAATGAGTTTTGAACAAGCTGATGAATTTCAGCACGCTTTGTCAGTGGCCTGTGGGTCTCAAGGGCACTAAGTTTACACCTTGTGCAGCCCTTGAGTTTTAAGTCCTTAAACCATTGCTTGATTTCCCAACAGCAGCCATTTGGTCTCTTCAGCTCAGCAGCCAGTCAGTTAGCTCCCTAACAGCAGCAGCATGTATTGTGTCTGGACAGCAGATGGATGAAAATAGCATGTGGGAGAATTTGGGATGTTATTGTCAGGTGACATACAGAAGCATTTGAGGCATTGCTGTATTGGGATTTTGTCACAGACGTGTAGGACGTACAGCACAGGGAAGGGAAGTAACCTCTGAAGAAAAAAAGGAGCAAGAAGAAGTGTTGAAATTTAACTACAAGGTACAAAACTAGAGGAAAGCAGTCTGGAATAAATGTGGTCTTCGTAGAGCTACTTATCTCTCTGTAAAGCTAGTCACCTACATTCAAACACTGTTATCTGCAATGAATATAATTTATATTTTTTAATACAGAGAATTTTTTTGGCATCTTGCTCAGAAAACAGGTTGTCTCCTTTATGTAATCTTCTCTGGTGGGTGGGTGCAGGGATCTCAGCTGCCTTTCCCACTGCCTGCGTTCATCCCCCTTTACAGTGATTCTCTAATGAAAGACATCTGTTGTGCAATGCCTATCATCTACACTTTGGTAAATGCACTTGAGAATACATTTTGGGGTTCAAAATTATTTGGTATCCTTTGTTTGTATCTTTATCTTATCTGTGTTAAGCTAGGGCTGACTCTGTACAAGTGGTGTGGGCAGAATCAATACAAAACATTCAAGGTCATAACTGATTCTGGTAGGCATGTTGTTATCACTTGCCTTATGCTCTTCATGATGTCAAAAGCTCCATTTTGCTTACTAAAAAAATACTGGCAGTACTATACACAATAAAGATAGGCCATTAGAAATATTACTGTTGTTGGTAGTTTTGTTTGTGAAAAGAAAATATGAAAAACCGTGTGCTGAGAGGAAGTTTAATTTAGTTATTTGTTAGTGAGTTAAATGACAGAGGCAATGATAATGGTAAAAGCTCTTAAGCAGTGCTTTCTACATTCATAGCAGCTCACATGTGCTCCCTGTTTTTATAGGTTCAGCAAATGAGGCAGAATGGTTAAGTGATGTGCATACAGACAGCCATTGCAATAACAATTCAGGGGCCTGGGCATCACTATTGAATTCACTGGTCTTTGCAAACCCAATGATAAAATTGTCCTTATACTCTCTCTTTCCACCAAGCAATGCCACTTTTAGAATAAATCTTGAAAGCGATGAAAACCTGGCAGGATTAAGGAGACATTCAGAACTCTGTAGTGTTTGTAAAGTGCTTTTTTGATTTGCAAATTGTTCTCGGGATTGCATTTGTGTAAATGTATGGGTGGAAACCAAATGCATCTTTGACATTTCATGTATGCATTGCTGTCAATGAAATGGCACATTAAATTATTTTCTTCCTTTCAAGAAAAATGAATTAAATCAAAATTTGAAGCCTTCTTGGGGAATAAAAAAGAAAATTAAAAAGTATTCAGAGGTGCGTCTATGTTGAAAATAAATGCAGTTCTGCTATTTCTATAATGATATTTTGTCTCTGATTAAAGTATTTCTAAAGCTCACCACTCTTTTTAAAGCAGCAAAGACATATGACTGCTTCTTTTCCTTCCAAAGGATTTCCTGCTGCAGATTTTCACTGTATTTCGGATACTAATACGACCAGAGATGTTTCCAAAAGACTGGACAGTGATGCGTTTGGTTGCAAACAAGTAAGACATTTTTAATGTTGATAGAAAATATGGGTAGTATGCAAAGATCATGGTATAAATAAGCAAAGTTTTATGATGTATGTAATAAAAATTCAAATATATTTTATAATGCTGTCTGCAGTTTTTCATTTTTTAATTTAAGACTTAAAATCTCTGGACTTTTTTTACATGAAAAATTCATAATATAATCTGTACCTCTTTCTATTCTGAATTTCAGTAGGCACATTTAACTGAAAACTCAAAAACACTTCTACAGAATGAAGATGCTAAGCATCAACAGCTTTGTTTTCCGAGTAGCAAATGACAAGTCTCAGCAGAACTTCATTTCAAATCTGTTTGTTGAAATGCTGAGTTGGTGAATATCTGTTTGCTCTCAGGAAGAAATTATCTGCTGTGATAATGATGTTTTTGCATGTTTGTTAACTTAGTACTTGTCAGAATAATCACAAATTAAAAATCACAAATGGGGAAATGAGGTACAGCACAGGCAACGGTAACATAGGGCTCTACACATTGCCTAGCAGTACTTTGAGCCGTAACGTGCCTTTGAGCTATTCTGTCTCTGCTCTGGCCTTATTTTTAGAGAAAGAGGTTCTGGAACTGTTAAATTTGATTTCACCTGTGTTATCAGCTATCCTTTTTTGTAGGCTTAGCTTTAGATCAGATAAGCCAGCTGAACAGTCAACACAAAAAAACTACCAATGTTGTCAGAAGCGGGGGGTTGTGCTGGGCAGACCTAGGAATCCAGAATTTAGGATTGACTTAAACTGTCATGGTAAGTAATGCAATACTTGATGGAAATTGGTTTTTAGTTTGCGTTGTGCCTTCTGGCTCCAAGGAGAATTTAAATTCGTGATGCTGTACAGACTACTAAGTAACAATATTGTTGTTACAATTAAATTTGGCAAAACTTGTATTCATATACATATTATGTGTGTGTGGATATGCAGTTATCATACTATTTGTTCAAACTTTGTAATTACCTGAAAAATACAACATTTTTGCTTGTTTTTGTTACCTCATTGTTGCTCATTTTACTGAATTTGAAATCCATTAAAAAATTGTTAATCAAATAATGATAATTTGTTTCTGTGTATGATAGCTAAGAAGATACAGCTGATACCAGCGTGCATCTGGTAATCATGCTTAAGAAATAGATTGAGAAACACAGGAAAGAGGGGAAAAAACGTAGGAACTTGTAGACTGAATATATAATCGAAGAAATTATTATATATTCCAGAAACAGCTGGCTTGGCAGATGGCTTTCCAACAGCTGACATGTACATAACTAAGATTTAGAAATGACCTTGGCACGTGTTTATCAGGCTGATGATGTTCAGATATGCTAAAGATGATGATACTAAGTTTTACAAAAGGAGTGTTTTCTTGCAGCAGTATTTTAGTTAGCATCATACATCTCCTTTTAGTAATCCATGTCATGTTGTTTCTGGCCATCTAGGAGATGACTCTGTGTCCAGTTCTGTCAGGCAAAGAAGGTAGGCAGAAGTTGACAATAACCGCTGGTGGGAATTGGTCATGAGAAGCCAATCCGATAGGCTGACTGAACCCAATCACCCACAATTGCATAAGCATTACTGCTAACAAATGGGATGTAAACACATCTTTACCAATTCAGCATTCAACAGTTGCTTTGCTAGGCATTTGTTCCTTTGTGGGGGAAATCCTGGTTTGCTCTAAAACAGGGGGTTGGCCAGATGCACTTGAAAGTGTGGTGTGAATTGAAGACTCATCATTCCTATGTTATGTACCTATGGCTTAGTTTCTGTTCTTTTTTGAGGCAGCAGAAAGGAAAATCCACTTATGATCTCTCCTTGACTGAAGAGCACTAGATTTTTCTGGAGCTGTTTCTGAATGGGAGCTCCTTCTTTCCACTTGTCACCCATTGCCATTGCTGTGGCTGCTTTCCTTCAGCTTCCTCGGGGTGTTCAGAAGCATTGGGCTACAGAGTAGTAGTTTTGCAACTATTGTCCCAACTCAAAATCTTTTAAGTGCAAAGGGAAGAGCCTAGAAGCAGGATGAGAAATCAGGGCTCTCCCTGCACCACAGACAGAAGCGGCTGTAAGCCATTGTCCCTGAGCTTCACTTGACAAGCCAGAGCACTTCCAGTGATCTGAGACTCTTCAGGATTGAAGGCAAAACTTCCTGAACTCCTTACTCCTCTGATGATGTCTAATAGGAAAAACTAGTCTAGCTCGTCTACTTAAGAGCATAATCAAGTAATCCATTAACTGTCTGGATCTTTTCTAACTCCTGCCTCCCAGGGATAAAATACTGTCATGTTTCCTGTGTCGGATGGCCGCCTTCTCAGCAGTCTGGGCTTCAGCCCGAGGAGAAGTAGCTAATCTGAAGGCAGTGTGTACCTTGGGAGCTGCACCCATCACTGCAGTCACATCACCAGCAGCACTGTCGTTTCTCTCCCCTGCCCCTACAGTGATATAAAAATTCAAACTGTCTGGTGTTTACAGGAAGAGAGATTTAGCCTGTCTGAGCCTAGAGAAGAAATGAGTCGTAGCAAGGATATAATCAGGTAATAAGCTTTTTCTGAGAGGGAGAAAAAAATATCCTTTTTTCTCTTACTTATATATGCAGAACTTCAATTACATGAAAGATTTTTAGACTTTAAAATGCCATAATTCTTTCAATATATAATATTTATATATAAAAATATTGCTGCGCTCTGGCTTCTAGATTTTTTTATTTCTTGTTGCAAAGTTTTCAGTAATTATGTAGCATCTGATACTTGGATGCTATCAACAAAAAACCCAGAAGATAGTGGTGAACTCAAGAAGACAAATCTGTAACCATCCAGAAATTAAGATACTTCATGATGACACATGCATAATCTATAATTCTGAACATCTGGATGCCCAACATAAAAAGGTATTAGAGTCTAGCATTATAAAACTACCAAGTGACTTCCAAAAATTGAGAACATTTAAAAGGGCAGACTTAGTGCTAAAGCAGAGAAATAGATCTTTTTTGAATCGTGTTCTGTGATGAAAGGAGAAGAAAATGCAAAAAAATCCTCAATGTTTATTAGGTTCTAGTAGTTGAGCAATGAGAGAAATTAATTCTGTTTAAAACTGCTTAACTGTGTAATATCTGTAGTGAGCTAATCAGCACACATTCAGTAAAGCAAAATAATTACTTATGGTTATCTAATATTTTTAACATGGATGCTACTACTGAGTGACAAAAATATGTTTTTATATATACTATGAAAAATATGGTTTTAATTTCTTTCATTATAGGGATAGACTTTCTACAGCAACTAGGTAGTAAGCTAGCTTGCTGACCCTCTATGCAAAGCTCCTATTTGTAACTGTAAATGAACACCATATAATAAATATACTAAGATATCTGAATCAGTTGCCTAGTGCCAGAGAGAAATCCAAAATTCTATAATAAAATATGCCAGACTAAAATTGAAGTTTCTGGATAACACCTTCATAATGTCTGTCACTGTGTAATGGTCACTTGCTTAAGTTACCTTAAGGTCAGAAAAAGAATCTCTTATGCTTTAATTGACTATTATCTATTGAGAGCATTTAACAAACTCAGCTGAACTCCAGTTATATCATGTTTCATTAACAATTGAGGAGGCTGTTGGAGAGCAAAGTGAGTTTCTATTACTTGCTGAGCAAAGGTTTGATATTCATAACATACTGTGCCTATATTATTGAACAATGAACTAATTTTCCACTGCTTTTGGCATGCAAGAAGCTTTAATTTTAAAGATCTCTGTATGATTAACCATGTATATTGTTACAGCATTTTTTGAATGGTAGGGATGCTAGATCATACCATTTTCATTTTGAATCTTATAAGCATAAAAAATGTGTGTATGGATTTTATTAGATAGTTAAATAATCTGTAAAGTAAAATTTACTGTAGTATGTTGCTTATCCTAAAATTCACAATGTATCTACTGACAGTTGGGCATAGGGACTTTAGACAGAAAATCCTTTTGGTTTATCTAATTCATTAATGACTGAAAGACATTGTTTTTTAAAAAATAAATCAAACAATGCACAGTAAAGGAAGACATCAAACTAGCATTAGTTTCATTATGGCTGCTTTGAAGAATCCTTTTAGCTCTTGTGGTGTGGGAGTCTGAGACTCCTACAATGAACAAAAATTCTTGCTTTTATGTAATACACAGTCTTGCTAACAACATTCTTGCTTTTATGTAATACAAAATGCTGCTAACAACTGAACCTGACATTCAGTCTGTCACAAAAAGCATATACACACATGTAGGTATGCGTATAAGGTTACATATAACAACAGATATATACACATATATGTGACTCTAGGTTTAGTTCATTTATTTATGACATATGAAAGAAACTTTTTTCCTGTTCAAACACCTCCATGCTTGGGAAGACTTCACTCTGAAATAGCAAAGGTTGAAATAAGAAGCTAATATATATTTGTTCCATATCAGAATGGAATCATTTTCTACCAGTGGCTGCCCAGACAGGAGCCAGGTTGCCAGAGCGCCGTCCAGGCAGTAAACCAATTGTTGAAGTGCTGGATGCTGCTTTGGATTTTTCAAACAGGTTATTGCAGAGGGGTTTGCTGTGAAAATTTGATGGAAAAGCCACTCTGTCAAAAATGCCCAGACTGAACCTTGGGTTTGCATTCTGTATATGAGCCTAGAATAATTTAGTAGCTAAAAGCAGAGGTTTTTCTCCTGTAAAACAGTTAGTGGTTCTGAAAAAAAATTGTGACAGGTGGCAAGAGGAAGAAAAGCAAGTCTTGTCACAAACTCAGTGTTTTGTAGTTTGATACTCAAATGGATTTTAAATAAATGTTGTTTTGAAATTGTTGGCTGGGAAGCAACTTAGGATGTGAATATAGTACTGGATCAGGCAGCTGCCCATCTGTCCTCTGGCTGCTGTATCTGCTTTGTGCAGTTTTGGTTTTTTTATACAACCTACATTATAAAGAGAACCCCCAATGTTTTCCATCCTACCTGATTTTAGTTTCTCTTGTGGATTCAGAATAATGGTTTATGGGTCAAAGACAATGGCGTCATCTTTATAAGTTCAGTTTTGAAGTTTTTTTATCTACAACATACTCTCACAGACCCATATTTTATCGACTAATTCATATCATATCTTTGGCTTACCAAATTAAAAAAAAATGAGCTGTGTTGCCTATAACAAGAAATACTTGCATCACAGTTATTGTATTACCCGAGGAAGATTCTGAAAAGAATCTTCTTAAAAAATGCATTTAAGATTTCTAGTCTAATTTTCTTCTCATGAGAACTGAAGCAGACCTTTCTCTTCAGTTTCACCTGCCATAGAAGGAATGTGTCCAGAAAGGAATTGTCTTTAGACACAAATAGAACTATGTAACGTAAACTTGGCAATATGGTTGCAGTTCTTGAGATCTTCTGGAATTTTCTTTTACATAAAATTTTTCAGGGTTTTATTACTTTGGACTTAAATTAAAATTTTATATAGCAATAGTTCTAATGAACAGACCTTTTCAGGACCACTTTCCTGAAATATGAAGACTATTTCAATTTTGTGAAAGGTATGGGCTGTAAATTAACATGCACAATAACAAGAATGACAGGATTCTTTTTTCTTATCCATGACTTGATTTTAAGCTTTGCTTATATTGCAATTTGTTAATATTTCACTTTGTCTTCCATGCTGCAACAGGGAGTGCTATACACACACTGTAACTCCCTGTTGCTGGAAAAATGGGGTAAATTATACAGATGAGTACTAAACATGGAACACTACTTGGAGAGAAAGGCTACAATATAATTATTGAGAAAATAATATGTATGCAAATGACATTTGAGCAGTGGAACTAGGAATGAATGAAACTTGAGATTCAAGCAGTATTCTAAAACCAGTCTCATACTTGGCTGATACAGGTGTTTAGACACATCAAACCAGAAGTAAATTTTGTCAGAGACAGTAATTTTAAAAGTAGGGAAATTGAAGCAAACATTTGAACTACTAATAAGCTAAATGATACTTAGCCATTTTGTATTTATAAACTTGAAATCTGTCAAAAGTGCCAGAAGAAAAATATAAGTTATCTCCTAGGTGGGTTGGTTAACATACAGTTCTTCAGTGTTGTGAAGATGAAAAATATTATACCCTTAAAATGTATATATTGCTGTTATTATATTTAATAAATCATATTTGTCTTGAATGCATTGCAAAAATAGTAGAAAATGAAGTCCAAAGCATGGAAAGGAAAACAAAGTTTAGCATTGTAACAGCAAATAGGTCAAGACCCATCTTCAAAGAAGTACTAGATGTATTAATAGTAGATAGATGGTAATTATATGAAATGTGTAGATACAACCTTTTTTTTCAAAAGGTCTTTAAACAGCTGATTGTTGTAAAATACATGAGTGCAACAGCAAAAGGCACATTAATTTTTTATCTTTTTTCCTCCCCCTGTAAGAATCCACTACTGACAACTTTCAAAAAGAATTTAATGTTTGTATGGATTTTTGGTTTTACTAAATATGTTGACAGACACAAGTGCTACAGAAGTTAGCTTAAGGGTTGAATCATTGAAATTAATTATATTTAAATAATCTTTAAGGATATTCTGTTTCTGTATATTACCAAACTTTGTTGCTACACTGAACAAGGCTGTCATTGACCTCTGGTGACAACCACTGTGAAAGGATTTTGATATATTTATTTAAGATAGATTCATATAGTTCAGGCAGGTTTCAATGTAGGGCAGTGTGTGACCGTTTGCGATGCAGAGAATAGAGAACTTTAGGAGCAGATCTTTCTCACAGAGCTCATGCAGTTTTGCATTTATCTGTTGTCATTAAAAAGACTCTTTGTCCATAGGTCTGTCAATATTGTATATTGGTAATTACTAGGTATTTTGTATTTATAATCTGTACACACATATTTTCAGTACCAAGAAAGCTGAAAGCAAATTGCCCAACTGTATATATTAGTGATATAAGGACAAGGTGTGAAATCAGATGTCAGCATTATGTGCAGGAAAAAAATGTATGGTTTGCCTTTTTGATCAATTATCATAGAATAGAATCGCCTGGCTGGAAAAGACCTCTGAGATCATCAGGTCCAACCATACCTGTTCACTACTAAACCATATCTCTGAGCACCTCATCTAGCTGTCTTTTAAACACCTCCAGGGATGGTGACTCAACCATCTCCCTAGGCAGCCCATTCCAGTGCCTGAGAACCCTTTCAGTGAAGAAGTATTTCCTGACATCCAATCTGTACCTCCCTTTGTGTAACTTTAAGCCATTGCCTTTTGTTCTATCACTAATTACCTGGGAGAAAAGACACACCTGCCTCCCTGCAACCTCCATTCAGGTAGTTGTAGACAGCAATTAGGTTACCCCTCAGCCTCCTCTTCTCCAGACTAAACAACCTCAGTTCACTCAGCTGCTCCTCATAAAGTTTGTTCTTCAGCCCCTTCACCAGCTTTGTTGCCCTTCTCTGGACATGCTCCAGTGCCTCAATGTCCTTCTTTTAATAAGGGGCCCAAAGCTGGACACAGTATTCAAGGTGCGGCCTCACCAATGCTGAGTACAAGGGAAGGATGGCTTTCCTGCTGGCCACACTGTTTCTGACACAGGCCAGGATGCTGTTGGCCTTTTTGGCTGCCTGAGCACACTGCTGGCTCATGTTCAGCTGCCTGTCAACCACCACCCCAGGACCTTTTCCACCAAGCAGCTTTCCAGCTACTCCTCCCCAAGCCTGTAGCGTTGCATGGGGTTGTTGTGACCCAAGGGCAGGACCTGGTACTTGGCCTTGTTGAACCTCATACAGTTGGGTGCAGCCCATTGATCCAACCTGTCCAGGTCCCTCTGTAGAGCCTTCCTACCCTCAAGCAAATCAGCTCTTCCACCCAGCTTGGTGTCATCTGTGAATTTACTGTGAGGGTGCACTCGATCCTTTCATCCAGATCATTGATTAAGATGTTAAACAGGACTGCCCCAACACTGAGCCCTGGGGAACACCACTTGCAACTGGCTTCCAGCTGGATTTAACTCCATTTACCACCACTCTTTGGGCCCGGCCATCCAGCCAGGTTTTAACCCAGCAGGTTGAATTCTTCTATACAGAACACCTGTTTTCAGCACACATTCTTACATCATGCCTATTTTTATTTTTTTTTTCTTAATATGCATGTTTTCTGTTAATAGGTGCTGTTAGGAGTCAGATATTTGTATATGTTTAAAATGTAGTATATAATGCTACCGTACATGCTACATCTATTTCTTAATTGGAAAATTATCTGACTCTGAGTATTAAATATGAATTTCCACTTAATGATAACTACCATCTTTTTAATTCTTTTCTTTCTAGTGTGATCATTACTACAGTCTTGTACCTTTCGGATGCCCTTCGTAAAAACTTCTTAAATGAAAACTTTGATTACAAGGTAGAGTAAGTGTGTCTAACATAAGATAGATGCAATATCTGCTACATCATGCTGTGGCTTGGTTTTTTGTTATTAAACTTGGCTCTAGCATCTAAACAGCTAGAACATGGACTAAATCAGCAATTTTAAGTGCTCAAAGATTACATTTTTTCTTAAATACAGAACTGTCTTAAAAATCAGGAGTGCTATAGAGTTTTTTAATTTCATCTTATTTTTCATTTTGTTATTTCTGCTTCTGTTTTATACTACTTATTCAGGATTTTCGCACAGCAGTTTTTTGGATTACAGAAGCTAATTTTATTATTTGTCTGTTATTATGGAGTTATCACAGAAAGGAATATTATTCAATTTTTGAATCTGTGCAAATTTATAAAAAATATGGGCTTGTCTTTCTGTAATTTCTCCCAGGATGAGTTAACATGCTGCATAATTAAAATTAGAAAATTATCACACTGCATGGTGAATGTAGTTAAAGATGTTAGTGAGTACCTCATATAGTAAAATATGGCACCTATGATAAACTGTGAAGTACAGAATGATGCTTTTAGGATTCACGTGCAGAGACCTATGAATGCATCTGAGAAGACCCATTCCCATGGAAACCTGAACAAATATTCTGCCCACCCAAGAGACATTAGTCCAATTGCTTCATCAAGAAAGGTGCAAAGTTTCCTTCCTAGAGAAGACAACAAGCTCCTGTTGAATTCCAGCAGAGTTGTGGGTGTTTCTCTGAA